TATGATATTGTATGTTACCATCTTGGTCAGTACGTGATCTTGCAGAGATCTGACCAGCTTGCCGTTCTGCATCGAGTTTCCCCTTCTCGTTAGACGTATTTTCCCTACAAGATCCATCGCCGCGCGTGAGATTTTCTGTCACGCATGCATATGGACGCTTGTGGGTCTATAAATCGCGTTGCCCGTCGCATCCTAGCCAATTCCTCACCCCGGTATTCATCCGTCTTTTCTACTCATAGTATCGACTCTCGGACGTGGTCTTCACTTTCGTCTGCACCCTCAGCTAACAACAGTCTTCATACAATGTCGAGTGCCAGTACTATTACACCTGCAGTCGTTCAGCAGTCCAAGTCGAGGATCCCCTCAAGTCTTGTAGCCTTTCCGAGCGTCTCGCAATCTCTCTACTCACTAAGCTCTGCTACGAGCGTACATGGTGTCTCGCTCCACCCAGCATCTTTTGCTCAACGCACCTCAGAAAGCGAAGCCAAGGTACGAACAACTTGTTTGTCTCGTACCCAGTACCCCTTTGACATTGATGCAGCTCGAGTCTGCCTTGAACAAGAACCTTGCTGTAGCAAAGCAGCGACAACAAGAGGAGCAAGAAAAGCGTCATCGGGAGATGAAGGAAGCTGCACGACTACGGATTCTCGAACAGGAGAAGGAGAAGCACCAAGCTCAAGTCAGTACTCCACTTCAATTTATGCCATTGAACTTCGCGCCTAACCTAACTGCAACAGGCTGCTCCTGAATCTGCTTCTCCCATCACTATTAAGACTCGGGTATGTATCACACATTCGTCATCTTATACTTATGCTCATCATATACTTTCCAGAAATCAAAAGCGAACTAAAGAGTTTCCCGCTCTCCTTCGCAACTCGCCTTCCGCGAACTAGACCGCATGATCGCACATACAGTATTATCCAGGGACTTTGCAGACTCAATTATCCCATCATCTGGTCTGGTGGGATCTCGGCATTTTTGCATCTTTTACATATCCATATCACTCATCCACTTGCTTTCATGTTGCTTCGCATGTACACATTGGGGTCGTCATTCTCAGCACCACATCCTTGCATCTAAATCTCCTCTGCTCTTATCTTCCTCCTCGTTCACGTCTTGAACATTAATATTGTAGTATATTAGAATAGATATGTAGCCTTGGGAATTGCTGCTCAGTTTATTATTGTGAACACTCGTAATTTCTAAGCCTGCCAGAGGGACGGCTTTTCCAAAAGTAATGAAGTTGTCTCCGAAGTTGAGCCCGAGTCCCTGCGCCACGCGAAATAAGGGTGCCCTGCCCTGATGCAGGATGGGCCAAACTTTCAAGGAGTGCCAAGGCCGGACTCAATGATCCTTGTTCTTGGCTCCTGCCTTCCTCTCCTAGACCCCCTACATCGTAAGCCACAGAGTAACATGAAATCCAGCTCGCAAACGACTGTGGTAGACTCATTTTTCCGGTGTTTCCCTCAGATTTCCCAGTCGCCGACTCAGCTGATCATAGTTACCCATACATCAGATCTGAATATTTTCTGTGCCTTGTTGGCGTTGTCGCTGATTGTCAGCTGTGGCAAGGGTTGAAGAAGTTGCTCAACCCGAAATCCATGGAAGAACCTGAGAGTGAGGCTCCAAGCTTTAATATATCTTCAGTTGCGCATATAATAGCATCAATGAGATCTTCTTGTGTATCGAGTCTACTACAGGTATGTCCAACAATTTCCTTGGCGACTGACTTTTTCATGCTTGTCTAGTGTTCCTGGACACCGCTTCAGGGACTGCGTTTTGTTGCCGTAATGGTAACCACATCGCCCAAATGCCTGCGTTGAAGGTAACCTGAGTGTATCACTACAGCAGGCTATGTATAAATACGGAAGCGCGGTTGTGTCCGAATAGATCGTGAGTACCTGAGTACCGAACTACCAATGAGAATGTCCCGTCGGCTAACCAGGTTCGCAACATCCCGATAAACGTCTAATCTCACCCCACACCTCAAGCCTCAGGCCATCTTCCAGGCTATAGTTAGTGTAATGCCGCAAATAGGAATTGCAGAGAACACCGATCACAGCCCTCAGACTGAGAGGATGCTAGAAAACAACAATTACGGATTACTCTTTACGGTATCGGGCTTTAAACCTGGATTGCATGCATGAGGACGCCACTACGACTTCAGCGACGATCCGTATCTCGGACAAGGGAACACTATCCGGGAGATCCTTACCGCCTTATTTCTGGTGGTTTCTGGGAAACTGAAGTCAGGTTACCAACGATGTTCTATAACCTTATCTCCCCACATTCCCGCAAGCTCCTAAAGTTTAAGGCATTTCTAGCCTATTCGACCTACTTGACGCCGAAGAATACCCGTTGCCCATGGCTTCGTAAATTTGACCTACCAATAGAGTCATTCGTGACGATGCATGCCTGCAAACTCGTCGCATGCTGGCACAGAACCAGCGTAAACAACAGGGATAACCCAGAGGGACTTTCAATTGAATGTGATTCTCAAGAACTTACATCACATGGTAGTTTCACAAGTCACGTCAATTACTGACCCTTCGCACTGTGACTGGCTTGGTTGGTGGTTTCGTATTTCCGCCGGCAGTTCCGTCGCGGGTTCATTTGATGAATCTGATGTCCGTGTCGTACCTGCTAGTGAAGAGCCAGCATTATGGCACAGACCGCAGAGCATGTACCAGTAACTACTTCAAGTTGTTCTCATCAAGCAAGAGTCTCACGGTGGAACCTTTATGTACCCAACGGGGGACCTCCAAGCCCAAAAATGTTGAGGCACAGCGCTGGCTGGCCGGCGGTGGGAAACGATAAACCCAAAGATCAACCTCACCCCTCAACTTGAACCGCCAACACCTTGCCGATCACCCCTACGCTCACCGGACTCACGCTTAAATTTGATTATCGACTATGTTTATCTGTAGGTGAACTCCGACTTCTTTCAGGAGTCTGTTACGACTTGGTTACGGGTTTTACGACAGCTACAAACCCCTAGTCCAGTACCTGGTGCAACCGCAGAAAGTGCCAACAGATCGGCCACGCACATCACCTGCTCAGCTTGGCTTTGAAGTCTGCCACCAGATCATGTTGAGAGCATTATTAACTCCTTCCGGCCTTTCATTCTTGTACTCGTTTTCGAAACCTGTAATATATGACACCAACTATGTTGGAATACCGAGGACTAGGGCGGTATCCGCGGCAGCAGTATATCTTTAGAGCCATCATCAAGCGGGTGATCGACGTCACCAAGCACTACCACGACATATGTCCGCACTTGCCAGTGCCTCGCAGATTATTCAGCTTTATTGGTACAAGTACTCGAAGGACATCTCGAAAGTATCACAGAGAAGCTGTCAGCTCATTGCTCAATGGGGGGTCTATTTTGGCGTGTCGACGTGACCTTGCCCCCTATTGGTACTCTACTATTGCCTGCCCAATCCGATCCCGAGGCGTTTGCTATGCGACATAGGAAATGATATCACACCACTGCTGATCAAGGGCCTCTCTATTCCAAATGGGATGACGAGCATTTCGAAGATATTCCTCCGCCGAATACACTGAAGATATCATCCTTCAAATTCAAGGGCTGATGTTGATGAACCATAGACCCTGGGCTCCGAGCTCGCAGTGACATCGATTACGGCCTTCTTCATCGATGTGATGCGGGCAGACACCGTGTTGATTCGGAACTATTCGCCTATAACTGCAATCCTGTAAGCGCGAAGGTTTCAAGATTTGGGTGAGAATTGTGTATGTGTGACATCATCGTATGGTTTAATTGGTTCTAGTACCAGGACGAGAACATTAGCGAAAGCCACCCTTTTGGGCTTAGGGGCGAGAAATCGAAAAGAAAAGAAAAGGGCACGAGAGTGTTCTGACACGCTATACCGGAAGAAATAACTGTTCACTGTTCTCCCGACCCCGCACTCTGGCGCGTCAGCTTGATTCTTTCTGGAACAGTACATTTTTCCAAGCCGCGCTGACAAAGTTTCAGAGCTCAGGCTCCAGCAGCTGCCTTCCGACGAGGATGGACGTGGTGCGAAGAAGTTTGGGCCCCCATTCGTACCACGCCAGTGTCTCTTATCGTGCATCCTGTGCACTTTATCGCCTAGAATGCACATACCCAGTTCTTCCAGGTTCCGTGAATGGTTAGCAATGTACCGAGAGTAAAAATATGGGCACACAGCTCGTCAGGTGTCATGTAGGGTCTGATGGAAAGCCCGCGCAACCCCGGGGGCTTGACTTCACCAATGTTTTGACTCTCAAGATGCACCCTCGAATGTCTCGGCGAAGCGTTCGGCGAAGCGACAGGGCTGCAAATTTGAAGTCCGTGAAATTGATACATCTGGGATGAAAGCCTCTAGCTCGTGCACTGTCTGTGGTCACGGGAAGTTCTTGAGTAGTATATCTAGATATTTATGGAATTCACCAGTCTACCCACTTATCTGATTGGGGTGACATATCGATCAAATGATGTTCAGCACCCTCATACTCTCGTTCTGCCAACATGGGATGAAATGTTATTTACTGGACCTGACAACTCTGTGAGGTGCCTCGGGGAATAGTGGCTCAAGCGTTCATGATGCTTGGAGTACTTGCAATCAGTGCCACCCTCCGAAAGATAACATCTTGGATACGAACAATTTATTGTCTCTTCATATGTGAAGGTTAAAATTAATCACAGCTCCTCACAAGATCCTATGAACAATACATAAGTCCCGTATACAAATACTCATTTATCATCTCGAGACCAATGTGTTAGTGGATACCCAATCTGTGGATAAGATACCAGTCAAGACTACCACAGGGAACAAACAGCAAGACAGCAGAGACAAAACTCTCTGTCGGGGAGTCGAACCCCGCTTTCGCGCGTGACAGGCGCGTGTACTAACCGATATACTAACAGAGAATATATGTATTGCCTGTACTATACCATTCCTATGTGATATGAGGCACAGGCGTTCAAACACGGGCATAAAATAACCACAGGACAACAAAGCCCACCGCGGGACTCGAACCCGCAACTTTCAGATACCAGTTATATTGGAAGCCACAGTGTGCCAGCCTTAAAAGTCTGACGCTCTGACCAATTGAGCTAGGCAGGCTTAGAGGTTAAAGTGGATGATAGCCCCAGCGTCCCTGTCGTTATTAAGAGGGTGAATGTTCCATTTGTCAGCCCGCAAGTTGAAATTTGAAGGTTATTAGAGACGTGGCCAGGAAGAAGGCCCATTCGAGCAACAGGACTTGCGTCAGGGTACCGAGCAGCGTGTTCTGATAGTTCTAGACTCTGCTACAAGCTAGTCTCAACGACTCATCAACCCCTTCCTATTTCCCACTGAAGTTGAAGGAATTAATAGAGTGGTCTGGGCCCTGTTCACACTATACGCAGTAAGACACAGGAAGGAGCAAGGCAGGGGTGTGGCTTGGGAATGAGACGCGCTCAAGACCGCAAGACAACGGGCTCGCGTTGCGATATCCGGGGGGAAGGTGAGCAAATTGCATATGATTCGTTGTAGCGTCGGATGGTGGATAATGACCTAGCTTTATATAACCCAGCAACAGTTTGGGGACAGCGATTCTGGTCGTTATTTGTTGTACCATATCTCAACTGATACCATATCCAAGTCTGCCGTGACATTAGAGGTGGCCCAGAAGATCATAGCTGTTATTATCCAAACCATCTCGTACTATAAGTGTGGATTGAGGACAAGAAGAAAATGCGTAGTGGACGAAACACACCGTGGTGACCAACATCAACTGATCGCCACTCCGCATCGCTCAGCCCCATGCTGCTGTTGTGCTTGAGGCGAAGGTTAGGTTATGAATGAATGATCACTGTCACAGTGAACTGTCTACACACCTGTAGTTTACTATCAGATGCCCGTCGGTAGCGAACATCTGGATAGAGATCAATGGTTTTGTTCGCAGTCCCCACGAGGGCAAATATACCTTGTACAGATTTGAAACAGTATCATCGGGAGCGGGAGAGAACGCAAGATTGATATAAGTGAACTGTAATCAAGTATAAGACAAGTTTTGAACAACAACACGGTAGGTACTTACGAGCGGCTCACTACCCTGCCAACCAAGCTCTCTCCTCAAGAACTGGATTACTGCCTGAAAACGGTTCGTGGAATTGATCTTGTAGAAGTTTTGCTTCATTATTGGTGCATTTCCGACGGCTTTAAAGCGGACGACGACTAGAACGATACTGAACATTTGTGGCCTGACATATCATGGAAGACAGCAATACGCACTTTTGAGAGGCTCTTTCTTCCTGTACGAGTCCAGAACTTTGATTGCCTTGATAGTTGGAGAAGTATCTTGAGTTTCAGTTCTTTCCATTGTGGTCTCTCCTGCCTCAATGGGTGGATTGCCTGGCTGGGTCATGGTCGCAATGAGGTCATGGTATGAGAACAGGTGCGGACAACAAGCCAATCCTGGATGATCACGTGAGTAGCATTTGACGCCGATAGATTCAACTGGGCGCCCAGTCATGTCCAACAAAAGAAGGTAATGTTATTCCTAAGAACTTCCGAGCTCCGCACTGATTTTGACGGTAACAACTCAGGTCATGAAACAAAACGATGTGAAGAAAAGACGTGTAGATTGCGACTCCGGACACAACTAATGCTACAGATCATTGATAATGTTTAGACTTGGTGCAATAAATTACCCGCAGAAGGTATAAGGTCGACGCTGTTACCGTATTTCTCTCTGTCTGGTTGCCCAGTTGCCGAACTAGATCCAGTAGCGGTAGGCATACTGTGCGTCGAATTAGCATCACTCTCAAACCAGTTTGGGATCTCGCTGATTGGGGTAGTATTGGTAAAGAAAGTTGTGGATTTGTTGAGATGGACGCGAACGGCAATGAGTACGAAGACGATACCTTATGAAGCTTGTCAGTGATCCGTAACACCACTTGAAGCACAACACCTCTCACCGATACTTGGTATTACAGCCGATTGAACAATGAACTGAGCATTGTGTTGCATCGGGTAAAGAATCAACAGAACAAGAATCTGGAAGGTGTAGATCGCTGCACTTTCTACAACGATCCGGAAGATGCGAACCAGACTCAATCTGGATGATGTATCTATGACGCCGTTGGCGGTCGAGCTGCGGTGTTGGGTCCAGATTTTGAAACCAATCAATCCCGTCGTGATGATATTCTGCACAAAGACGAGCGGGTAGATGGTTGCCATCCAAGATAGAACGGCATTAGGGGAAGCCATGCCGAAGTGCGTGAACCAGACGAGTAGCATGGTATTGGAGGCTATGAATGGACGATAAGTACATTGTGGAGTATCAGTCTCGGTCCGCGACCCACCGAACTCGAAAATAAGAAGAATAATGGGAATGACGATGACCCAGTAGTTATAATTCCAGACCACCCAACAACGGTAAATCTAGGGATCTAATGTCAGTGCATGTGTCAAGCGGAGATTCAACGGCTATACTGACAACGAGTGCGTCTCCCAACCATGTCATGGTGCACAGCATAGCATTGTGTGCGACTGTATCCCAGTTCCGGAAATCCATGAAGTACCAAGCTGGCGGTTCCACACGCCAGACGTATGCTCGGAGCATCCGGTAAAGGCCCAGAACTACTCCAGATCAGCAGGCAATTGGTCATACAGACAAACATATACGGACCGATATGGGCCGTCGAGAGAATGTACATCAAGAAGGTCGTTATCAGAAATACCTATTAACCCATCTTGGTCATGGTACGGCGACGGATATCCAATAGCGTGTACTCACCCGGGCAGATGCAATGTTCTCTCTCCGCTTCCTCAACATAATATAGCTAGCTTCGAGGAAAAGACATGTGTAGACGCCTGGTACAAATGATCCATCAGAGCCTAGTTGATCCAGCCAGGGGGCATCGTACCATAGAGCAATACCTAGGGTGAGCGAGCGTATTATTAGTCCAGATGGAAAAAAATCCATACAAGACAAGACGCACCTCTGTCCATATGGCGACAATATGCGCCACCTCTGGTGGCAACGGAGTAGGCGGCCCTACGAAGTTCGTCGGTGAGGACATATGGTTGTGCCCATTAACAACTGGTGAAGTGGAGGGAAGAACAGATCAACGGCTCTATGCCAGCTTCTCATCATTTCTTTTCTAGCTTGTTGAAGGGAAGAAGACCCCCAGGAACTGACGTGATTTTCCGAATGTTATATGTTCGATTTTGAATTTTCATTGTTGAGAAACTGATCATTGATTTGGAGACCGGTGCTATCAAATCCGCCCTGAGTTGGCTGGTCTAAAACACACCTTGCATATGACCTGTATATGACTCTCTGTCGCCGGATTGGTGGAGGAGGTCTCCTGGACCTAGCTGAGCATAATACCTGTTCTAGCCTACTATTACAGATCCCTAAAAGGCGTAACAAGCGGCTGACGACATATGGGAGAACCAGATCTCACAAATTCATGGTCATTAGGCAATACACCGATAACATACCAGAAAAGGACAAGCTGTTGATGGGGTCTTCGGGGGCCTCAGTCTTGTCACTCACGCTGCCACCATAAAGACATCTTACTATTTGTCTGTGGCTAATTACAACTAGGTATGCATATCCTATTATATCAATCCTCTATTTAAAGACACTAAAAGACCCGAATTTTCGAATTTCTCCGCCCTGTAAGGTATTATTGTCCGTACGAGAAATTTCTGCTCCTTGAACACCAGGTTGATTGATTCGTCGGATCCTTAGCTTACACTGACTACAGCGACCAGGGCCGGAAGTGTGGTTCCCAGATTTCGGAACATGTCTCTGGTATAGTTACTCTGACCTTCCTTGGAGTTTCTTGGAGGTGACGGCCTTTGACTACAACCAATTCATGTAAGCAAACGCCGTGGGGTTTCAGGTGAGCGTCGAGTCATGCTGCCGACTTCGCATATACGTTTGACAGTATCTCGGCAATTACTGGCCCCAGAATCTAACGAGAGATTCTTCAATGGCGTGTGTATAAGTGGAACCGTCCGACATCCCATGCCCAAAGGTGATGAGAGGATGTGACCGAAGATTTCCCCCAAGCAGGTCATACGACATGAACATCATAGTCAGCAAATTCTCATTGATTGTATTTGAACGATTTTCCAGTTAGAAGACTGCATCCACTATATCATCTATTGTATCATCGGCCCAGACTCCGACCTGGACTGAATTGAACATTGGTCCAGCGGGGTGGTCAGCAGCTCCAGTGATAGCGAGCGAGTTCAGAAGAGTCAAGACGGCGTACAATCTCAAATTATCTAAGTAGATGTTTGGTTATGCCTATGATGTAAGTGAGCTGAGGTTAATTCCTCGACGTCAATCTGAGGGAAAAATGAGGAGCTTTTGTCCTTCGAAGCTTAAAACGGGTTTCTAATCGATTAATCGTTGAATGCCACGCTTTGAAGAAGTTCGTAGCACATGTCTGAGAACGGAAGGTGACTGTGGACTAATGCCTTCCAGAATTGGAAGTATTTTTACATGTCCTGATCATGCTGATGCCTGTTGCACAAGTTGGGTCGGGGATGCATAATTGCATATACTGATCTAGCGCAAGACCCTGGCGTTGTCCGAGAAACGAGCCCTGAATTTACGACTTCGGGTGCAAAGCGAATGGCCATTGGGCATGTACGGTCTTTGAATTTTTAGGGCTCTTGCACGGCAGCCACAAGCCTCCCACGAGCCACGGACTCAGCCACTAGTGGTGTTCAGGTTCGCCCTGTTCAACAGGCGGCACAAGGTTTTTGACATAAATGGGGGACTCTACAAGGGGTTGTAAAAGGCCGCCGCGAATACTGGGTGAATGGCATACCAATAGATTGTACCATCGTCAGCTACCCGTTGTGTGATTGAAAGCGCGCTGACCGGCTTCGGTTACCAAAAGAGCCCGCGCCTTGCCAGAAGGATAGTTGGACTTTGTCGACAGATGCTTGTAGCTCCATTGGCTCAGGAGATCCTGACCATTGGGACTTCAGCTTGAGAAAGAGTGGTTGTTCTTGTGTGGCTTGTGAATCGGTCAAAGAACATAGCGTGCCCGTATTGTTCCAGTCTTGGGGACTGTAATAAAAGACCAGTGGGAAGTTGTATCACGAAGACA